AGGTTGGAGGACAGGTGGAGGCTATAAGTTGGAGGACAGGTGGAGGCTATAGGTCGGACAGGTGGAGGCTATAGGTTGGAGGACAGGTGGAGGCTATAGGTTGGGGGACAGGTGGAGGATATAGGTTGGAGGACATGTGAGGACAGGTGGAGGCTATAGGTTGGAGGACAGGTGGAGGCTATAGGTTGGAGGACAGGTGGAGGCTATAGGTTGGAGGACAGGTGAGGACAGGTGGAGGCTATAGGTTGGAGGACATGTGGAGGCTATAGGTTGGAGGACAGGTGGAGGCTATAGGTTGGCGGACAGGTGAGGACAGGTGGAGGCTATAGGTTGGAGGACAAGTGGAGGCTATAGGTTGGAGGACAGGTGAGGACAGGTGGAGGCTATAGGTTGGAGGACATGTGGAGGCTATAGGTTGGAGGACAGGTGGAGGCTATAGGTTGGAGGACAGGTGAGGACAGGTGGAGGCTATAGGTTGGAGGACATGTGGAGGCTATAGGTTGGAGGACAGGTGGAGGCTATAGGTTGGCGGACAGGTGAGGACAGGTGGAGGCTATAGGTTGGAGGACAGGTGGAGGCTATAGGTTGGAGGACAGGTGAGGACAAGTGAAGGCTATAGGTTGGAGGACAGGTGAGGACAGGTGGAGGCTATAGGTTGGAGGACAAGTGGAGGCTATAGGTTGGAGGACAGATGGAGGCTATAGGTTGGGGGACTGGTGAGGACAGGTGGAGGCTATAGTTTGGGGGACTGGTGAGGACAGGTGGAGGCTATAGGTTGGAGGACAGGTGAGGACAGGTGGAGGCTTTAGGTTGGGGGACAGGTGGAGGCTATAGGTTGGAGGACAGGTGGAGGCTACAGGTTGGGGGACAGGTGGAGGCTATAGGTTGGAGGACATGTGGAGGATATAGGTTGGAGAACATGTAAGGACAGTTGGAGGCTATAGGTTGGAGGACAGGTGGAGGCTATAAGTTGGAGGACAGGTGGAGTCTATATGTTGGACAGGTGGAGGCTATAGGTTGGAGGACAGGTGGAGGCTATAGGTTGGGGGACAGGTGGAGGATATAGGTTGGGGGACAGGTGGAGGATATAGGTTGGAGGACATGTGAGGACAGGTGGAGGCTATAGGTTGGAGGACAGGTGGAGGCTATAGGTTGGAGGACAGGTGAGGACAGGTGGAGGCTATAGGTTGGAGGACAGGTGGAGGCTATAGGTTGGGGGACAGGTGGAGGATATAGGTTGGAGGACATGTGAGGACAGGTGGAGGCTATAGGTTGGAGGACAGGTGGAGGCTATAGGTTGGAGGACAGGTGAGGACAGGTGGAGGCTATAGGTTGGAGGACATGTGGAGGCTATAGGTTGGAGGACAGGTGGAGGCTATAAGTTGGCGGACAGGTGAGGACAGGTGGAGGCTATAGGTTGGAGGACAGGTGAGGACAAGTGGAGGCTATAGGTTGGAGGACAGGTGAGGACAGGTGGAGGCTATAGGTTGTAGGACAGATGGAGGATATAGGTTGGAGGACAGGTGGAGGCTATAGGTTGGAGGACAGGTGGAGGCTATAGGTTGGAGGACAGGTGGAGGCTATAGGTTGGGGGACTGGTGAGGACAGGTGGAGGCTATAGTTTGGGGGACTGGTGAGGACAGGTGGAGGCTATAGGTTGGAGGACAGATGGAGGATATAGGTTGGAGGACAGATGGAGGATATAGGTTGGAGGACAGGTGGAGGCTATAGGTTGGAGGACAGGTGAAGGCTATAGGTTGGACCGGTGGAGGCTATAGGTTGGAGGACAGGTGGAGGCTATAGGTTGGAGGACAGGTGAAGGCTATAGGTTGGAGGACAGGTGAGGACAGGTGGAGGCTATAGGTTGGAGGACAGGTGGAGTATATAGATTAGAGGACAGCTGGAGTATATAGGTTGGAGGACAGGTGGAGGATATACGTTGAAGGACAGGTGGAGGCTATACGTTGGAGGGCAGATGGAGGCTATAGGTTGAAGGACAGGTGGAGGATATAGGTTGGAGGACAGGTGGAGGCTATAGGTTGAAGGACAGGTGGAGGATATAGGTTGGAGGACAGGTGGAGGCTATAGGTTGAAGGACAGGTGGAGGATATAGGTTGGAGGACAGGTGGAGGCTATAGGTTGAAGGACAGGTGGAGGATATAGGTTGGAGGACAGGTGGAGGCTATAGGTTGGGTGACTGGTGAGGACAGGTGGAGGCTATAGGTTGGAGGACAGGTGGAGGATATAGGTTGGAGGACAGGTGGAGGCTATAGGTTGCAAAACGTGGAAACAGGTTGAGACTATAGTTTAGCGGTCCTAAATTCTACCATTCGACCACGTCCTTCCCTCAAGGCGCCTACCATGTTGACACGTTACAATTCAATTGTGTGGGAGGAAATTCCCTTGAATATTTTCGTTTGAATGATGACGACAAAGACTCGTGTGGTCTAGTTTTATGTCCAAGTAATAGCTTCATATGTAGACTATAGACCTAATCGCACATAAACAATTTCTTTAAAGAAGCTTTTTATCAATAGAAGAATAATTTCGCTTGCTAACGATTTTTAGGAAATATTTTCTTTGATCCAAAAGACGTTATGTTTATAACTATAAAATGATAGCCAAGTTGGCCTTTGATGAAGATTATAATTTATACTTTGATGTATTTCACAACTTTATGGAAAGCCACGCATTGTAACAAAAGCAAAAAGAACCACACATCAATGCATTTATCAACATAACACATACACACAAACTCAGCTACAAACGCAAACACAACATACACACAACTGACAGTTTCATGTTACACAAACAAGCACAAATATATCTTTACAAACATGCAACGATATCAGTATAAACATTCGCCCACACAAAACAAATATCTGAACACATCTGGGCAGTCATATACATCTGAACAGTTAGACACACACATATTAACTGCTAAACACACATCTGTATAAATATACACACATCTTGGTAGCTATACAGACATATAAACAACTATACACACATTTGAACAGCTATACACATCTTATAAGCTAAACACATATCTGAACAGTTGTACACACATCTTGGTAGCTATACAGACATATGAACAACTATACACACATCTGAACAGCTATAGACACACAGATCCTGTTAGTTATACAAACATCTTTGTTTCTATATACACATCTCTACAGCAAATCTACCCGTGATTCACATCTGAAAAGCTATACACACATCTGAACAGCTATACACGCACGTATCCTGTCAGCTATACAAACATCGGTGTAGCTATACACACATCTGAACAGCTATACACACACGTATCCTGTCAGCTATACATACATCGGTGTAGCTATACACACATCTGAACAGCTATCCACGCACATATCCTGTCAGCTATACATACATCTGAACAGCTATACACACACATATCCTGTCAGCTATACAATCATCGGTATAGCTATACACACATCTGAACAGCTATCCACGCACATATCCTGTCAGCTATACATACATCTGAACATCTATACACACATATCCTGTCAGCTATACAAAAATCGGTGTAGCTATACACACATCTGAACAGCTATCCACGCACATATCCTGTCAGCTATACATACATCTGAACAGCTATACTCACATATCCTGTCAGCTATACAAACATCGGTGTAGCTATACACACATCTACACAGCTATACACACACGTATCCTGTCAGCTATACAAACATCGGTGTATCTATACACACATCTACACAGCTTTACACACACGTATCCTGTCAGCTATACATACATCTGAACATCTATACACACATATCCTGTCAGCTATACAAAAATCGGTGTATCTATACACACATCTACACAGCTTTACACACACGTATCCTGTCAGCTATACATACATCTCAACAGCTATACACACACGTATCCTGTCAACTATACAAACATCGGTGTAGCTATACACACATCTCTAAGCAAATTGACCTGTGATTCACAGTTCCAATTATAAATGTGGACCAAGCACTTTCTCACCAGGGAGCTCCGGCTAATTAAAACTATTAGTCACAAATGCAGTCACAAATGCAGTCATATATGCAGTCACATATGCAGTCACATATGCAGTCACACATGCAGTCACATATGCAGTCACATATGTAGTCACATATGAAGTAATATATGCAGTCACATATGCAGTCACATATTCAGTCACATATGCAGTCACATATGCAGTCACATATTCAGTCACATATGCAGGCACATATGCAGTCACATATGAAGTCACATATGCAGTCACATATGCAGTCAAATAAGCAGTCACATATTCAGTCACATATGCAGGCACATATGCAGTCACATATGAAGTCACATATGCAGTCAAATAAGCAGTTACATATGCATTCACATATGCAGTCACATATGCATTCACATACGCAGTGGGGCTGTGTGGGGGTCACATGATCTTTGCCCACCCCGTTAGAAATGTTATTTCATATTTTACAATATGCTACTTCTACACAATTTAGTGACACATTTGTTATTCATCATGATGGGGCGAAATGAGAAAAGTGGCCCCTTGAAAAATCCCTGGGGGGGGGGGGGTCATTTTTTAATTATCGAGAGTTGCTACCCATTCAACGATTATACCAGGACGGGCAGACTCCAATAATATTTGCTTATCCTCAGTACCTGGACCATAGACCTAGGCAGATGTGGCTCGATAGCTGGGGACAGCAGCCCATCTAGTAGACAATGATTAGCTCAGGACGGCCTAACACCAGCAATATTTGCTTATCCTCGGTACCTGGATACTAGGGGGTTTCTGCGTTACACTGCATATGTAGATAAAAGCATTAAGTCTATATAACCGGTTTAAATTGCTGGCCTTCAATTTGAGGAATTTTATAAAAATAACTGCCCACAATATTTAAATGTCAAATTGAAAATGCAAAGTATTTCTGTAATTAGGAACGGGAGGCAAAGTTTATATAATTAGCAGAAAATGGTTAGTCGGTTGCTTACTTGTTCATCAACTTTTGAACGCTGCACTTGGTACTGCTAGTTGTAGCTAGAAATATTGTATTTCAAAGGGTGAGGTTGTTCTCTACCAACTTCAGAAAATTTTGTGTAAGTATTTTTTTAGAAGGCGAATCAGTTAAAATAAGTGTTCATTTATCATGTTTTCCTTTTCGTTCTTGTTTCAATGTTGGAAGACATTTCCTCCAACACCATTAAGTATCTCGTGTCAGCATGTTATGCGCAATTTAGGCCTTAGACTCCGATTTCAGCATGATTTTCTTTCTGGATTTTCTTCCAGTCAAGGTCAAACTACAAGGCAGCAGTTCTTTTTGTTTGATTTTGGAGTTGTCTCTCCTGGAATCGTTCCCAGCTGCCCGGTGATTCCAACGCGATACTTTTTGGTTTAGTAACCATGCAGAGGCGTAGCGACCCCTCCGGGCGCCCGGGGACAAACTTTCAATTTGCCCCCACCCCCCATATGTTTTGTATATTTATAATTCAAATTAGCAGCTAAATGAGCTTTACTTTACGCCCCTAGGGTCGGCGCCCGGGAACATGTACCACCCCCCCCCCCCCCCCCGTCGCTACGCCTCTGCAACCATGAGCTTTACCGCCCGACCACCCATCAAACAAAACGACATGTCCTTATTGTTAGTTTTGCTAAGTAAACGCTTCCAAAAAGAAAATACATACAAAATACATACAAAAGTATTTAGCAGTTGTGCGGGAAATGTATAAATCATAAATGTATAAGTCGTAAATGTATATGTGCTCTCATGTGTATGTCGGCCTATATGTAGTTGTGTTTGTATTTCGATGTGTATCTGTTTATGTATGTGTGTGATATCCGTAAACAATTTAGCGTGATGCTATTAACGTCTAAGTTTTTTTTATATGTATCAATTTGTACACAAATCCACATGCATGTTTTTTGTCATGGGTTCTGCGCATTCTTTAAAAATAGGTGTAAACGTGTCTGTACGTATTCTATTTGCTGTAATATGTATAACCCTATAATTATGTATGTACTTTTGTACGTGTATATCTTATATATGTTTATGTGTTATGTTTTAATTGTGCCTACGATTTAAAAAAAATGAATTTGACTGTGCTTAGATTAAAGATTAATTACATAAATTAGTATTGATCTTACCAGCCAAAAATTAATTCCATCCTACAGTTTCAGCATGTCTCTTCACATTTTTATCTGGCTACTTGTTTTATCGATAGCCAGTGTGTACGGTGCGGACAACTCCACGGTAAGAGAGAAACTCGATAAGTTGTTTATTCCCCTTGTACAAAAATAGTAAAACACAGTTTAAAACCAGATATTTTCTACAGTTGTAATAGTATAATTATTCGTCGCAATAATATGAATTGAAAACCATATTGCTGGTAGTGTTGTTGTTTTTTTTTTAAATATACGCCTGTTTAATATCAGATTACATTTTTTTTTTGTTGACTTGTAACATATTTTCTCTTCACAAGGCAAGCAATGCAACCTCTGTAACCAACACTATACAGGTAATCCAGTAATTTCTATATATAATACCCTGTCTAGTGTTGAATCGGAAATATGTGTGTAAGCTTTCTATACTTTTATTGCAGGCTAAATCTACGGTCACAACTACTTCCCCTAAAACAACAGTAAGTGTCTACTTTATATATATATATATATATATATATATATATATATATATATATATATATATATATATATATATATATATATATATAATTATGTATATATATAGTGGCGTAGTGAGGGGTGGGCGGGGGGTGCGGACCGCACCGGGTGACATCATTTAAGGGGGGTGACACCAAGGCAAAAAATAGCAAAATATATAGAGAAAAATGATAATTCCACTTAAGTGATTAATTCGAGTGTTGAAGTCTTTTAAGAGCAAATTTGGCAAATCCCGGCAAGGATGTAGGGGAGGGGTGCAAATCAAAAGTTTGAGGGGGGGGGGGGGGTGCATATCGAAAGTTTGAGGGGGTTGCAAATCGAAAATTGAAAGTTTGTCCCCGGGCGCCGGGAAGAGTCACTACGCCTCTGCTGGGGGGTAACTACCCGACCTCGCTACGCCACTGTATATATACATATAATTATGTAAATATATTGTTTAATTATCAGTTTTAAAGTGTTTACCTATCACTGTTTAAAGGTTGGCAAAGAAAAGAAAAAAGAAAAGGACAATTCAAACGAGGTAATACTGTCTTGCTTTTTTTTTCTTTTTAAAAAAAAAACAAGGTTTACAATGCTTGATTTATCAACAATTCATAAACAAGATAGAATTTGTATAAAGATTTCTTTTCAAATTTCTGTTCAAATTTAACGGGAAAACATATCATATGTTAAGGTTTTTTCTTTGAGAGTTAGAAAGTTTGATATAGGCCTATGTTTTACAAATCTGTCTCCTTTAAAAGAGTGGCGATGACAGTGCTTCCAGTGACGAAGTTGACAAGGTGAGCGGTCATTAGTTACACATTAGCTACAAAAGTACTTGTGTTTTATGTGTTTTGTTTGAAATCTCGCTTTATTTGTAATGTTTTTACATTTATTTATGAAGTCTTTACCTTTATTTATGATGTCTTTACCTTTATTTATGTCTTACCTTTATGATATATTTACCTTTATTTATGACACTAGGCATGCTGCCCAGCTTCGCTTAGGCTTTCGAAAACTGAGAATTTGAATGTTTAATTAATTCGCCCATATAAGGCGCCGGTCAGTCGAGGTCAGTTTTGACCCCCTCATCGTAGACTTTTCGGCCAACCGGCCCCCGTGTTCTGTCGCTCCAAGGCAAGATCCTGCCAAATTTGAAGCGCCTGCGGCGCCGGGAAGTACCCTATCGGGCACCCGACAACTTAGCTTTATATATTACTAGCGTACCCGTCCCCCGCGCGTTGCCGCGGGGATAGAAGAAAGTCTGACGAAATATATTAGAGGGATATCACCAATGCATTACCAATCATATGTTCTTAGACGCGTGACCTTGTTTTCTAAAACTGTGTTATTTAAATGTTAACAATGCCTGCGCTTGGATTATAATTATCGGGACACGGGTTTACCTACACTACCGCATGAAAACCTCGAGTGTACATTAATCACTCACCGAAATAATGAGGTAGAACACACTTCGGTGACCATCCATGTGTCAGGGACGTCGAGTCTTGCACTCAGGAGCCCCCCCCCCCCCCCCACCCCCCCGATTACACTACCGCATAGGCGCAGCGTACGGCCCCTGGCTCCTTAAAACTAACAGGCACCATCGTTCTAATAGGATAACCCAGCGTGCCAAATAGCATCCTGTAAACAATGATGCATATTTCGTCATTGGCTAAAGTGACACAAATGAACAGGATTTTTTTCTTTAACACGTAAAAAAATTATTTGACGTGTTTTAAACATCAGTGTGACTAATGCAATATGCTAGCGTTACTAATGGTCTATTATTAGATGCTCGATAATAATAGATGCTTATTGCATCATTCGCAAAGTGACGAAACTCTACAGTAGGCTCCTCATATTCAAAAAGTTATTTTTTCATCTTTCGCAAGGTGACGAAACTGTACAGGATTTCCTCGCGTTACAAATTTATTTTTAGAAGCCTGTTGTAGTTTTACCGCTGAATATAGTAGTACCCCTTACTCGCTATGCAGGACGCACGATTAACGGATGCCAAGTGCCAACATCGTCGCTCTAAAACTCTGGGCGCCAAACCGTGTATTGACGAAAATTGTACTCTATATGGCGCCGCCCATAAGAAACTTTAGTTTTCTTTTTCGCAGAAATATTCTCGGGAGTATTCTCATCTACTCCCTATAGTTTCATGGCACTCGGATGAACCGCATCCGAGTTTTATTTTTTATATACCGTGTATAGAGAAAAAAATCGCTCCCCCGGGGGCACCGCCCTTGCAATATTAAAAAAATATTTTTTTTTTGCAGAACCCTACCGTTGGTGATCTAATCATCTCCCCAAAGTTTCATGGTACACGGATGAACGGTGTGAAACCGAAATAGACTTTTACTTTTATAAACCGTATATAGAGAAAAAAACAAATCGCGCACTGCCTGGGCGCCACCCCTGCGAATTTGAAAATGTTTTTAGCGCAGAAACCTCCCCAGGAATATTCTCAATATCTTCCCAAAGTTTCATTGCGATCTGTGAACGGTGTCACGGCAATTCACTTTTATTATTTTTATGTAGGTATATAGAGAAAAATCGCACCCTCCCGTGGCGCCGCCCTTGTGAAATTAAAAATGATCTTTTACACAACCCTTCCTTAAAGTGTTCTAATAAACTCACCAAAGTGTGATAGCGATCAGAAGAATGGTGTCAAACCAAAATCTACTTTTATTTTTATATACCGTATGTAGAGAAAAACAAATCGCGCCCTGTCGGGGCGCCACCCCTGCGAATTTGAAATTTTTTTTCGCAGAAACCTCCCCAGGAATATTCTCAACAACTTCCCAAAGTTTCATTGCGATCTGTAAACGGTGTCACGGCAATTCACTTTTATTATTTTTATATACGGTATATAGAGAAAAATCGCACCCCCCCCCCCCCGTGGCGCCGCCCTTGTGAAATTAAAAATGATCTTTTACACAACCCTTCCTTAAAGTGTTCTAATAAACTCACCAAAGTTTGATAGCTATCAGATGAATGGTGTCAAACCAAAATCTACTTTTATTTTTATATACCGTATATAGAGAAAAACAAATCGCGCCCTGCCGGGGCGCCACCCCTGCGAATTTGAATTTTTTTTTTCGCAGAAACCTCCCCAGGAATATTCTCAACAACTTCCCAAAGTTTCACGGCGTTGCGATGAGAGGTGTAGTAATGCATAAAGGACAAACAAACACACACACAAACATACATTGCTTTTTATATATATAGATAGATAGATATATAGATCTAGATAGAGATTAGCAAATTGCAAAGATAAACAAAGATTTTAATAAAGTAATTAAGGCCTGAAATACTTTAGTATAGAAATGTATTATTTGAATAGATTTTACATCTAGGTAGGGTCTACATCGCTAGATTTAGAATCCAAATAGATAAAATATTTTTTTTAAGTTTAGGCCGAGAAAATCGTATTGTATACATTTCATAGCGTACATAGCTCTAAATCATATTTGAATGAAATAGTTCATTTCTTTATTTCATTCTAAACTCGGAAGATGACGTCATCAGTTTCGTGCTCTTTTTTTAGTGTAAACAATAAGTGACGTCATTGCTAAATGCGTTCTTGTCCCAAGTTTAAACACTTTTCCGGTTGCATAATTAAAATTATTTTTCTACATTTGAATACGCCTTTATTTTTTTTTCTTCTTTAAATAAAATTGTGGTATACATTTAAAACATCTAACATATTATTTTCAACAAAAGTCCGTATAAAGTTCTTCATATATCGCTGCAGTTTCTGACGTGATGTCCGGCGAAAATATTTTGCGAACAGACAGACAGAGAGAGAGAGAGAGAAGTGCGCACGGGGGCTTTTATATATTAGGATATTTACCTATATTTATGATGTTTTTACCTTCTTTTATGATATCTTTTACTCTATGTCTTTTATATTTTTATCTAGGGTAAACTAGACGAACTGAAACACTTGCTTGAGGTGAGTTCAGTTTACTTTTGGTGGTCGTTCAAAAATGTTTAGGCTTTCAGTTTTAGCGGAGGAAGCATTTTCCTACTGTTAAAAACATGTACTTAATTTAGCCGGATGAATATATATATAAATATATATATATATATATATATATATATATATATATATATATATATATATATATATATATATATATATATATATATATATATATTAACCATCTATATGTAGAGGACAAAAAATAAATTCAATACATTTTCTCACCGATTTTCCTCTCAAAAATGTTGTTTTAGGGTCTTGTGAAAAAACTTGAAGAGAAAAGCGGAGTTAAAAAGGTATATTACATCTTAGTATACTACTATCGTACGAAAAGGCCGACATTGACATTAAATCGACAGACTAATATTACGATTTAAAAAATCCCACAACTGGTTTTTGTCCGTGTCGGCCCTTAGTCTGTGTAGGCCTTTTGTCTATATCGGCCTTTTGTATACGCTGGGGCCTTTTGTCTGTGTCGGCCTTTGGTCTATGTCGGCCTTTTGTCTATGTCGGCCTTTTGTCTTATAATATTTTCATAGAATGCCAATAGTCGATTTGACAGCTAGCGGTTACATCTGGTACCGTAACATTGTAACAACGGTATACATCCAATGACTTACAACAATTTTAGACATCAGTGCTTGTATGTTTGGAATACTTTAAAGAATTCTGCTACAAAATTAATAACTATCTCGTAACATAGATTGATTTAGTTTATCAAGGAGTGTCAGTTTTTTTATTCTATTTTATTTTATCTACGCACTAATAGGTTATTGAACTCTTGTTTGGGAAAGACAAAAACGACAAGGTAAATATTGTTTCCATTCAATCGATGTAATTATTAAAATAATATTTGTAAATACACTGTACATTTGATAAGTGGTATATCTTATGAATATTATATATATATATATATATATATATATATATATATATATATATATATATATATATATATATATATATATATGTATATATATATATATATTTATATATATATATTTATATATATATTTATATATATTTATAATATATATTTTATATATTTATATATATATATATATATATATATATATATATATATATATATATATATATATATTATATATATATATATATATATATATATATATATATATATATATATATATATATATATATACCAGAATTGACATTGAAACATTTGTTATATCTCTTTAAAGTTATAAACAAAATTAAAAACATTGCTCTTTGTTTTCTAGGACAAGAAAGATAAAAAAGATGATAAGAAGGTAAAAGTTTTAACAGCCCGGGGGTCGGGATAACGGTTTGCCAGGGGTGTTGCCACTTTAATTAAAATGCATGGAGAAAGTGTCGATTACTTCCTGGTTATTTTCCCTGGGTTATTAACCCAGTCTGATAATTACTATTAATTACGAAGTGTTTAACCTGCTTAAATAAACTATAGCAGAAGTTCGTTGTGTGAATCAGTTGTCTCGAGATACACTAAAATATTGGTTCGTTGTATGAATTATTGGCCTTTAATACAGACTAATTATAGTAGAGGTTCGTTGTGTGAATCAGTTGTCTCTCATATAGACTACCTAGAGGTTCGTTGTGTGAATCAGTGGTCTCTCATATAGACTACCTAGAGGTTCGTTGTGTGAATCAGTTGTCACTAACTAGACTAACTATAGTATGGGTTCGTTGTGTGTATCAGTTGTCTCTCATATAGACTACCTAGAGGTTCGTTGTGTGAATCAGTTGTCACTAACTAGACTAACTATAGTATGGGTTCGTTGTGTGTATCAGTTGTCTCTCATATAGACTACCTAGAGGTTCGTTGTGTGAATCAGTTGTATCTAAAATAGACTAATTATAGTCAGAGTTTCTTCCAGGCATCTCTTCGGGGGGGGGGGGGGCAGAGTCCCACCCCCCCCCCCCCGAAGAAAAAATCGACCACACCCCCCCCCCCTCCCGAACGAGATGGATTTTATATAATAAACATACACTTTTACTAGTGTGGCCCCCCCCCCCCCCCGAAAAATGTTGACCGCCCCCCCCCCCTTAAAATTTCATGTGCCCCCCCCCCCCGGAGAAAAAAGTCTGGAAGAAACACTGATTATAGTAGGGGTTTATTGTGTGAATCAGTTCATCAAATAATTTAATTCACAAAAATTCTCATCAAAACCAAGGGATACTCATAGTTATATAAGAAATCACTTGTCAATTACTAATTACTTAATGTATTTTTGTTTATATCTTAGGCTAAAAAAGATAGAAAAGATGACAAAAAGGTGAGATTAAAAGAACACAGCAAGTGTTGTCTTGTATTGCTAGATGTGTTGATTGTGTTATGTAGTGTCAAATTTTAACTGCTTAAAAATATTTGAATCCCTTTTCGAGCAAGACCTCCCATGGGATAAGTAAAGTTGAGTTCACCTGTTTCTTTGACCTCGACATATAAAGGGATAGTGTGGTCAGCACTTTATCCAGCCGCCTTGACTTTACCTAACGTGAATCAGAGATGGGTGGACACATGAACTCACTTCATCCCGGGCTCGACCTCGAGACTTTCGTGTTAGCAGTCTAGCGTTCTATCGCTAGGCCACGCCGTCCCACGTCATTGCGTAAGGCGGCGATAAATATTACAGCATTATTCATTGAAGGAAATAATGTTATCCAATCCGACTTGAGTTCACCTGTCTCTGTGACCTCGACATATATAGTGATAGTGTGGTCAGTTCTATACTCAGGTACCAATCAGAGCTGAGTCGACTCAGTGACGTCCTACAGACTCGAGTCTGGGAGCCTAACATCGGAGCAGTGTTTTTTAAGACTTTTTTTCTCCGGGGGAGGTGGTGGGGGGGGGGGCAAAAAAATTGAAATTTTCGTGGGGCGGACTAAAGTTTCCGGGGGGGGGGGAGGAAATTGTTAAAAGTATATATTTTCTATTTAAATTCCATTTCATTCGGGGGGAGAGGGGGTATACTTTCTTTGTTAGATATGCCTGGAAGAAACACTGCGTCTGAGTACTGAATCGTATTTAATACAAACTTTTTTTATACATTTTGTTTCGTTATTTAATATTTCGTTCTTTATTTTTTTACTTTCATTCTTAGAGCAAGAAAGCAAACCAAGATACAGAGAAAGAAAAGGTTTTTATCTAATCATTTAACGTAATAAACAAATATTAGGAAAGAACGCAAATAGTAAAAATCTTAAAATGCAGCTGGAAAAAAATATATTTTACATAATTGAGAAATTAGTAAGACGAAATAATATATTGTTAGAGTTTTTATTTTTTTATTCTTTTCCAAGATGAAAATTAAATATTTTATCTTTTTGGGTATTTAATTACTGAAATGTTATCCACGATAAATATTCTTGTTTTAATGTTATAGATAGTCATTTTTATGGGTCTTACGACGTAGCTATTTTAAATTAATACTTTTTTTTAAAATTCGCGTTTGATAGTTTGAAACACAAGGTTAAACGGTATTTTGTTTAAAGAAATTTTGTTTTATTTTTATTTTTTATTTTAAATCTAGAACAAGAAAAAAAGAAAAGATGATGACAAAGAAAAGGTCAGTTATTTTTAACTTAATTACGAAATGGTATAATCGTAGTACAAACTACTCACATCATAAATGACCATGACTATACGTGCATTGTTTAGTGGTATCTCTTAAGAATTTCATGCTAACTTTATCTGCAACCTAAACAAGAAAAATTGCATATTCCTATTTTATATATATATATATATATATATATATATATATATATATATATATATATATATATATATATATATATATATATATATATATATAAGAATTGATTTTGGAATATTTGGACCATCTTTTACCTACAATGCTACAAACATCGCTTTTATTTTCTTAGGACAAAAAAGATAAAAAAAAAGATGATAAAAAGGTAAAAGTTTTGACAGCCTGGGTTGCTTAATTTAAGGCATGAGTGAGTTAAGATGTTTTAGTAGCATGATGATGATTGATTTTTTTTTTAAATAAATATTCGGGAAGCCACATGGCATTAAAAAAAAAATTCAAGAAAGAATTGGAGCTACGCTTATGAACGCTCTGATTTATAGTAATACTTAGTATAACAATACTTTGTATAGTAATACTTTGTGTAACAATACTTAGTATAGTAATACTTAGTATAACAATACTTTGTATAGTAATACTTTGTGTAACAATACAAAGTATAGTAATGCTTTGTGTAACAATACTTAGTGTAGCAATACTTTGTGTAACAATACTTAGTATAGCAATATTTTGTGTAACAATACTTAGTGTAGCAATACTTTGTGTAACAATACTTAGTATAGTAATACTTTGTGTAACAATACTTAGTTTAGTAATGCTTTGTGTAACAATACTTAGTGTAGCAATACTTTGTGTAACAATACTTAGTGTAGCAATACTTTGTGTAACAATACTTAGTATAGCAATACTTTGTGTAACAATACTTAGTGTAGCAATACTTTGTGTAACAATACTTAGTATAGCAATACTTCGATTTGCTGTTGCTGGGTTTATTCAATCACATTTTCTTTTTTTTAAACAGATCAACGGCACCCTACCCCTGATTGGCTGAATCAAGGTTAAGCTAATGAGATCAGTTCATTAATTTTATTACGTGGAGTAATTTGTTAGATAAAATATGTTTTTTATATTGTCATACTATACGTATAATTTAGTGGTATCATCATTCATCAACATCTTAATATTACACCACACTATTACGTTTAAAAAAACTCATAACATTAAAGTAAAAATTCAAATTTAATTCAAAAATACATCATATGGAAAGTTACTAGCTACTTCATACATACATGAGTTTAAAAATTGACTGTCTAAAACGGTTGACATTTTGTATTATCTTTCACCAATGTCAATACGTTTTGTTATACAAGATTTCATGAGCATCTGTATCAATAAATGTGTTTTATATTATCTAGATATAAAGATGAGAAAAATAAATATATCACAAAAAGGGAAGATATTTTGAGTTATACATCTATTGTTTTTAAGTGCAAGACATTCTAGCATTGTGCGGTAAGTTAGGAAAGAATACTCTGTTTGATCTCAGTACAAACTAGTATTTATTCGATTGCTTCCCTTACTATTTTAGTATTGTTTTCAATTATTTTTTTTACATTTTGGCAGTATAACAAATGTACACATGTATAGTTATTTAAAAAGTTGTATTCATATATTAGATGACAAATGCATACATAAATTCATGACATAGTTACGTAATTACTGTCTTCCTCTTTAAATAGTTATGAGGTACTGGATACAGCAAATTACATGATTGGTTAAAAAAGGATGTCTTGATCATTACATATATCAAGTAGATATAATTGTATTACACATACCTTACGCCAACACTCACCTGCACTTAAAGCATCTTCATACATCGGTAGATTTTACAGCAAATGAAACTAGTAGTTAGGCTAGGGGTTAAGATTTGTGTTATGAGATGATTGGTTAGTTGCAACTGTCACCCAATCCCCCACTTCTATCACTCACACACGATCATCCTAAATATTGTATACACCTACGTCAAGTTTGATTCGTGAATTGTTTGTTGAACGAGACAAATCTGGGGTTGTTTCTTTTTTTTTTTCTTTTTTGAAGATTGTCGCATTATTCTTAAGTAATCTGATAAATTGTTAACTATAAACGGTCCCATACAAAATTCTTTTTTTTTATTAATTTTCACGATTTTGACTTCAGCTAAAACAAAGATCCGACTCCGTGTACTAAACAGATGTTTAACAGTTTTCTTACTGAGTCAATTGTTATTATTACTAAATTGATCCATGGAAACATTTTATTGATCATTTTAGACCGCTATATAATTGTACAAAAAACGTGGGGAAAAAGGGACATAACCCAGTAACTGTAATTTGATAAAAACAAGGTTCGGTACTCTCCCTCTTTGCTTACTGAGTAGTGTTCACGCGGTGTTTGTGTACAAACAACCGTAACAACTGGTGGCCAGTATGGGGGAGACGATATGGTCGAGTGGTGGGGCAAACGATTGCTATCCCACTCGACACGGGTTCAAATCTATGTGTTCTAGTCAGTAACGTATTCACACAACGTGTTTTTTACGAGTTGTCTTTTTACGAGACTTTAATGCTATACAACTTTTACGAGATTTTAATGCAAACAAACAGACAAAGACTAAAAAGTAGAAATAATAATCATTAAAAAAGTTTTTAAAAACCCACGTTTTCTGATTGAACTAAAAAGTAGAAAATAAATGCTATACATGACAATAATGCAAGCGATCACTCTACTATAAGCGATCAAAAACGTGGGGCGCCGTGATTTTCTTACAGTTTCTAATACTGTTGACTCTCTACAAGCTCCCTAATAAAAGTCAATAGTATTATCTAATCAATAGTAATATAAATTTTACTTCGGCGCCCCACGTTTTTCATCGCTTATAGTAGAGTGATCGCTTGCATTATTGTCATGTATAGCATTTATTTTCTACTTTTTAGTTCAATCAGAAAACGTGGGTTTTTAAAACTTTTTTAATGATTATTATTTTAATTTCATTTTTTTTCAAATACTGAACTCTTATTTTCTTGAGTTAAAAAAAAAAAATTAATATTTTTTAGACCGAGCCTCCTTTCTTTTTTTTAATGGTCTCGCACTCTTTGGTGACGTAATCGCCGGTCTCATCTGACGTAATCCGGTTGTTGTCCGCCTTCTCGTCGAACTTGGCCGGACACAAATATCCGTCCGGACAGTTACACAGGAACTGTACCTGTAGAAGGAAGGAGGCTGTGTTTGAGGCGTCATTCGCACTCGACGTCATATTTTTTTAACCACCGTTACACATTGTCCCATGTCGCCACATGGCGTCACACATCGTCAAACATTGTCACACGATGTCACATATCCCATGACGTCACACATCGTAATACATCGTCACTTCATGTCCTATCGGTACTTGAGTCGGTACTAATATCCTACTTCATGTCCTATCGTTACTAGAGTCTGTCCGAATGCCTACTACATGTTCTGCCGTTACTTTAGTCTATCCACATGTCCTTCTTCATGTCCTACCGTTACTTGAGTCTGTCCAAATGTCCTACCGTGACTTGAGTCTGTCCTAATGTCCTACTTATGTCCTACGGTTACTTGAGTCTGTCCACATTTCCTACCCTTACTTGAGTCTGTCCTAATGTCCCACCGTAACATGAGTCTGTCCTAATGTCCTACCGTTAATTGAGTCTGTCCTAATGTCCTACCATTACTTGAGTCTGTCCTAATGTCCTACCGTTACTTGAGTCTGTCCTAATGTCCTACTGTTACTTCAGTCTGTCCTAATGCCCTACTTATGTCCTACCGTTACTTGAGTCTGTCCACATGTCCTACTGTTACTTGAGTCTGTCCTAATGTCCTACTTATGTCCTACCGTTACTTGAGTCTGTCCACATGTCCTACCGTTACTTGAGTCTGTCCTAATGTCCTACCGTTACTTGAGTCTGTCCTAATGTCCTACCGTTACTTGAGTCTGTCCTAATGTCCTACTTATGTCCTACCGTTACTTGAGTCTGTCCTAATGTCCTACTTATGTCCTACCGTTACTTGAGTCTGTCCACATGTCCTACCGTTACTTGAGTCTGTCCTAATGTCCTACTTATGTCCTACTTATGTCCTACCGTTACTTGAGTCTGTCCTAATGTCCTACTTATGTCCTACCGTTACTTGAGTCTGTCCACATGTCCTACCGTTACTTGAGTCTGTCCTAATGTCCTACTTATGTCCTACCGTTACTTAAGTCTGCCCACATGTCCTACTGTCCACTTCCCACCTCTAGGACCTTGTCCGTGTACTTGCGTGTGTCCACGTAGATCTTGGCACAAACACTTTTGTCGTTCAGCGTTTGACTGGGGTCACGGCATTCATCCTGTGCGTAGAGAACAGGGGTGGTTAGGGGTAGAGATGGGGGTAGGGGTATAGGTAGGGGATAGGGGTAGAGGTAGCGGTAGGGGTAGGGGTAGGGGTAAGGGCTGGGTTAGGGGTGTGACATGGTAAGTGTTAGTGTTAGTGTTAAGGGTAGGGGTAGGTGGAATGGTCAGGGGTAGGGGTAGGGGTAGGGGTAGGGGTAGGGGTAGCGGTAGGGGTAGGGGTAGGGGTAAGGGTAAGGGTAAGGGTAAGGGTAAGGGTAAGGGTAAGGGTAAGGGTAAGGGTAAGGGTAAGGGTAAGGGTAAGGGTAAGATTAAGGGTAAGGGTAAGGGTAAGGGTAAGGGTAAGGGTAAGGGTAAGGGTAAGGGTAAGGGTAAGGGTAAGGGTAAGGGTAAGGGTAAGGGTAAGGGTAAGGGTAAGGGTAAGGGTAAGGGTAAGGGTAAGGGTAAGGGTAAGGGTAAGGGTAAGGGTAAGGGTAAGGGTAAGGGTAAGGGTAAGGGTAAGGGTAAGGGTAAGGGTAAGGGTAAGGGTAAGGGTAAGGGTAAGGGTAAGGGTAAGGGTAAGGGTAAGGGTAAGGGTAAGGGTAAGGGTAAGGGTAAGGGTAAGGGTAAGGGTAAGGGTAAGGGTAAGGGTAAGGGTAAGGGTAAGATTAAGGGTAAGGGTAAGGGTAAGGGTAAGGGTAAGGGTAAGGGTAAATGTAAGGGTAAGGGTAAGGGTAAGGGTAAGGGTAAGGGTAGAGGTAGAGGTAGAGGTAGAGGTAGAGGTAAGGGTATGGGGTAGTGGTAGTGATCGCACACCTCTTAATTTCAAAAACAATATTTTAAGAGTTTTACCTGTTTCAAATGCTATGATTTGGCGGCATGGTTCCGTGGTACCTCATAACGCGTTTTCTCAAATTTACTTAACAGATCAGTTCGGGGTGGGTTTGGGGGGGGTGAATTCAACTTCATTCACCACTGTCCG